GCCGAACATTGTTCCATCGGCTAATACGTGGATTCGTTGCTTTTTCCAGGTTCATCGATTGCGAGAAGTGGCGGAAAGAATTCGGCACCGACGACCTCGTTCGCACCTTCGTCTACAAGGAGAAGCCTGAGGTCTTCCAGTACTACCCTCAATACTATCACAAGACAGACAAGGTAGGACTTTTTTTTGGTGCTTAGATGGTGGTTTGTCATCTACGTGCTAATGAATGCTTTTGTTGGATAGGATGGACGCCCTGTCTACATTGAGAAGTTGGGCAAGATCGATCTCAACGCCATGTACAAGATCACAACCGCCGAGCGCATGCTGCAAAACCTCGTGTGCGAGTACGAGAAGCTCGCGGACCCCCGGCTGCCCGCCTGCTCACGCAAGGCCGGCAAGTTGCTCGAGACCTGCTGCACCATCATGGACCTGAAAGGCGTCGGAATCACAAGCGTCCCCTCCGTGTACGGATACGTGCGTCAGGCTTCCGCCGTCTCGCAGAACTACTACCCCGAGCGCCTGGGCAAGCTGTACCTGATCAATGCCCCCTGGGGTTTCAGCAGCGTGTTCAACGTTGTCAAGGGATTCCTCGACCCCGTCACCGTGCAGAAGATCCACGTCCTTGGTTCCGGTTACAAGAAGGAATTGCTGGAGCAGATCCCCGCCGATAACCTCCCCGTTGAATTCGGCGGTACCTGCGAGTGCGCTGGAGGCTGTGAGCTCAGCGACATGGGTCCCTGGCAAGAGCCTGAGTGGGCTAAGCCGCCCAAGTGGGCTCTGCCTAAGGAGGAAGAGAATGTCGTGAAGAATGAAGACTCGGGTCCTGTGGTGAAGGATCCCGCCGCGCAAGAGGGCTCTGAGCCCGTAGCGTAGGCTATTTCGTCTTTCTTGCTCTTTTATGCTTCTCGTTTGCCTTGCATACATAAATTCTTGGATTCATGTGGTAAAGGAATTCAGCTATCATCCATGTCGGCCTGTGTGTTCTTCACCAATGCTGTCTCTATCACTCATCCCTGGGACAGTCACACTTCTTATGCCTTCGACCGTGTCCTTCCTGATCGCATTTGAACATCACATAAATTCAGTAACTGGTCGAATGTTACCCTGGCGGAGTGGCTTGTAGGGCCGACCGGGGACGTGTTTATCTCTTTCCTCTTCTCAATATCCAAACATAGATAGTCAACAACTCCGGAGGAGTGGTGCAGTGCTTTTATAGATGGGGACAAGGATGATAACGGATTGCAGGGTTGAATATAAAGTGTTTATCTTGTCTGGAATTTGGTTACTTGACTGTGGATAGTCAAAGAAATGACTGCACGTTCTCATACTGGTTTACTTTGGTCTAAACCAACCGGCATCTGGAGGTCCTGATGAGAAATGCAGAAATAATGTTTGTAAACGAGATTGGTATCACTACCTTACCGCTAGCCTTTATTCCAACGCCAAAATAACATACCAGGGGGATATGGCCGAGAACCAAAACAAGAAAAAAAGAAAGAAAATAGTGAAACCCTTCAGCCTCACATCTTCTCCACGACTTCCACAGCCCGACCCGCTCGTTCAGCTTTGCCCAGCGTCGAGGACAGCGCATTCCCATCCGGCCCGCTCTCGACTTGCTCGCCAGGGACTGCCTCACCCTGAAGCCGTAGTAAAGTCCGCAACGCATCGTCATAAACCTCCGCCATCTCCCCGCTGCGCCAGCGCTCCGCCTCATGCTCCGACCCGAGGGGAATCTGCAAGTTCCACCGCGCAGAATTCAGTTTCGAGGGTCTCCGGCGCAGCCTGCGAGATCCATTCTGCGTCGTTGTGTTTCGTGCATCCGCGTCAGGCATAGGGATGTCTTCTTCACCCTCGCCATTCCCATCCTCATTTTCATTTCCATCTTCACCGTCAACATCTTCGTCCTCGTTCATATCCTCCTCGTCCTCCTCGATAGCGTTCCTCAATTGCTCTGCGTACGCCTTCGCCGCACGCGCCGGCGCATCCCGCCTCAACTGCGCGACTGTCGTGGTAAGGGACTCCAGCTGGGCGTAGAGCGATGTCACGCGCGCCGCGAGCTCGGTATCGTAGGGCTCGTACTCGATTGTCTCTGTTGGTTGCGTGAACGCAGCGGGGAAGGGGAACTGTGACGAGGAGGAGTCGAGGCCGTTGATGCTGATTGAGGCGGAGGCGGTGGTGAATGTTTGATTGATGTACTATGGCTCATTTTGTTAGAGTCAAATTGACATGTTAGGTACAGGGGAGAAGAGAGGTAGTACCTGGTCGACCAATTCCTTCACACGTTCTCGCATGGGATCTGGTCCATCGCTTGTGTTTGCCGAGGGGGGAAGATGGAGATCGAGCTTTTGGCGGGAGAGAGCGACGGTGTTGGCGTAGAGGTAGGTGAAGTCTGCGGGCGATTGGAGCTCGATTTTGCGGTAGTGAGGGGTTGACATTGTTGTTATGCTGCTGTTTGTTGGTTGTTCTGTTGATTTGATGCTGGTGGACGCGGTGCGGGATGTTCTCTCATTATTTACTCTGCTCGGACGGGGTACCTATCGATATCGATTGTAAGGTGTCGAGGTGTTATGCCTCAGGCAGCAGTGCTGGAGGAGGAGTGATTGCTGCCTAAGGCAATCCGTCGATCACGGCCCCGCAACGATGTCATCGATCTGGTCTGGGAGATCTCTATTTAGCTTGCGGCCTTGCAAACCTCATGAACCTTGCACGTCTAACCCTTTGTTTGCATCTCTAATTTTCTGTTCCTGTCTGCGAGGTTTTTGTCGGGGATTGAGTTGACACTAGGTCTGCGTTTGTTTGTCCTTATTTTCTTGGAGTTGCAAGCTTGTAAGAGCTGTATGCTCCTATCCCTTTTCTTTCGTCACGAGGCTTCACGAGGCTTCAGTGGATGTTGCGTTCATCTACGTCCACTCATTGCTGTTGTCTTTACATTGATTGCCATACCATGTTGCGATAATGTCACAGTCCCCTGCCAAGACAACCTTGGAGGTCTGTTGTAACAAAATTCTGATATAATATCGAGGTAATCCGTGGAGTCATCATTACCATGGCAGACATTCGCCGGATCACGCTCGCCGACCATACCGACCCCTCACGTCGCTCCGTCGATGAAGAGGCGCTGTCTCAAATCCCCTCGGCTACAGGATCGCGAACCGGCTCCAGGCAATTCAGCAGAGTGTCCATCCGCGGTGAACTCAAGCGACGAAAGTATGCCAAATGGCAGCCTGACCGATTGCGGCTCTCGGACGACAGTAGCTTGAGCAGAATGCCGTCACCGTCGGTGAATCCATTGACTCACATGAATACGAATGCGAATACCATATCTGGGGAGAGCGCTTTGTCTGGCCCTTCTCAAGCTGCGATCGAGCAGCATGACATCGATGCGACGGATTTTGCCTCCTCAACGAATGGCGAGCGCGATTCCGCGGTGCCTCACCAACAACAGGGCTACGACCCGAAAAGCAACACCAAAGGGGCTCGTTCCGTCAGCGAATTGGACATTCTCTACGAAAACCAGCGCGGCTGGTTCTTTTTCGGCATTCCGTTGTACTCGCACAGCTCGCTGCTCAATTTCGACCCTGGCTCTTGGGTCACGCACGACTTCCGCGAGAGCCCCGTCAACATCACCAACGCCCAACTGCCAGACCCAAGCTGGGAATGGGCTTGGCCGTCATGGTATGTCGATATGTCCGGCGACATCGACGACCAAGGCTGGCAGTATTCGTTCTCGTTTAGCTCAAAGGCCTGGCATGGGTCTCATCCCTGGTTCCATTCGTTTGTCCGAAGACGACGATGGGTTAGACTGCGCGTAAAGCGCGCTGTGGAGAAGACACATCGTGGACGATCGGGGTTCGAGATGGCTCACATGTTGAACGAGGATTATTTTACAATTCACTCTCCGCGGAAGCAAAGCAAAGCCGCCAGTTCAATAGCAGCGTCGGGGAATGTGAGCCGCACAACCACTGGGGTAGAAGAGGAGGCTCCGTTGGAAGAGATAGGAAACATTCCTACACTGATGTATGCCCTGAAGGCTGCCATTGTTGATCGTGAGAAGATAGACGCTCTGAAGCGTTTCATCGAGGATGGGGGCGAAGAGCTCCACTACCTGGATGACAAGGTATCCCATTCACTCGTTGCTCGTCTCTAATAAATAGTCCACTGACTACCTGGCAGCTCCCTGAAATCATGTCGATGTTTGTCTTCCAAAACTCGAGATGGCAGTTCCTCACCCACTTGGAGGATGTCATCAACGACCTCTCGCGGGAAGCAGCCGAAAAAGACAATGCAGACGCCGAAGAGATGCGGCGCAAACAACACAACCTCACGAAAGCTGCAGAGACAGCAAGACGGCATATCACGGGGCCCGAGTTACTAGGTTCCGAACACCACGAGTCGATGAACTTGACTCCTGCCTCAAAGCATAATCTGTTAGAGAACTGCTCCAAAAGGTCCTCGTTCAAACGGATCGACAATGGCGGACAGATCAAGGGTATCCCCGAGGCGGCTGAAATTGGTCTTGAAGGCCATATACACCGTCCGTCGTGATGCCTAGAAGTAAGTCATTCAATGGAGAGGCAGCTAGCTTGCTGTAACTGACAGCATGTCGAGGGTTGTTGAGCTTGTTGAGCGTTGGATACCATTTTTTCTTTCTTTTGCTTCTAGCGTCTAGTACCCCCAGTTCAAGCGTTAAATATAAAATGCTGTGCACAAATCTTTGCCCAGACACCTTTCTAGTTTAAGGCCTAAATAATAAGACATCATCGATGGTAGTAGCTGAGATTTGTTAATTCCACAATGCTTCCGATGCTCCGCCTGGAGGAAGCTTGAGCGGTCCGAACCCCACCGCCTGCCGTTCTGGCACCGCAACAATTTTCCTGCACTCCAGACCGAGCTTGACCTCCATCGAGTTTCTATCAGCGTGCGCATGCAACACGACATAGACACATTCGCTTGACGAATCAACCTCACATGCCTCTGGGAATCTGTTTGTGCCCTACCATATGTTCTCGCGCGGTCATCCGTGTCTGAGAAGACGTGGTCTATCCGCCGTCTTGGACAACATCGCCGCTGGCCCCGAAGAACCCTTACTCTTTCTCTACCCTCGCTGGTTTACATCGACCTTGCGAAAAGAAATATCAATATCGTCAATAAAGTATACTCCCTCCGGAAAGGATCCGCTGCGCTCAGTTCGTCCCGTCCTCCGAGTGTCGTCTCGTCGCCGGAAATCGTCCTTCGGCATTCTCACACGGCGATGGATATCCACTCACTCCGCTGTCGGGACCGGTCTTGCCGAGCCAGCTGGCTCACTGCCCGGACGTAAAAATGTTGAGCATACACGGAGTATAGGACCTACGCAACCACAGGGAATAGAAAGCACCGGCGATAAAGGTGGAAGCCATGACACTGTACTCAGCGAAACGGGCTCCCGTGCGGACCACGAGTCGTCAACATCGCTGCATACATCGGAAACACCAGGCGAAAAGTCACTGAATGCCACAAGAGAGGACCGGCGGCCGTTCAACATCTTCACGAACACGCAAACGAACTTCCCGGCCAAGGACAAAGCGATCGGAGTCATGGAAAGCTTGTCGATTAGGGATCGGAAAAAATTGAGATATAGGCTTTATCTTTCGCGGATGGGCGGGGACCATGGGTCACGAGATAAATGGGGTCGGTGGACCAGAGTGGGAGACTTCTTGGAAGAGATGCAACAGGAGTCTCGGCTGTGGCCCAAGAAGGGGCCGGTGCAAAAGGAGCTCCTTATACCGGAGGAAACAGTAGCGCTCATGGCGGGCATCACGGACATGGCGATGAAGGAGAATGTCTGGTATGTGCCGGTTCGCAACGGGTGTCGTGTTCATGTGTTGCACCCTCTAGAGAGCGAAGGGCAGCATAGGAAGGTCATTTTGTCAGGTTCGAAGCGGAGTGTGGAATTGGTCGGGGATCACATCATGCGGGCACGAATGCTACAGGAACAGGGTGACCCTCTAGTCGACATAAGGAAGCCCCCCATTCCGGTTTACCCCTCCATCGAGGCCATGCGACGCAAGAATCTTCCGGTTCCACTTGTCCGAGGTGTCTGGGACTTTTACCAGGCGTTCAAGCAACCTGCACCACTGGACACACTTCTCAATTTGTCTGCCAAAATATCGAGTGTCAGGGAGTTCGCTGAACATGTGGAGGAACTGACCCGATCTCGGCCGTCCTCAAAAGTCATTAGAGGGAAACCGGGTACTCATCACCGTGAGCGAGTGGCTGCTGCGCTTGTCGCTCTTTTCCAAAATGACGCAAACCGCGAGTATTTTTCGACTGCAGCATTGAATAGAGCACTTTCATATCTGTTCGACAATGAAATCTTGGACGACGCTCGCGCGGTTTTCATCAGGGCAGAACATGTCGCGACAGTTGATACGTTTAATATGCTTCTGAAATCCGCGGCCAGGAGACAGGACATCCAGGTCTTTCGTGGTTTCCTCACCTCCATGTCGCGAATGCACATCCGACCGAACCCCTACACCTGGCTCGCTTTCCTTGATTGTCTCGTCTCCCCCAATGCGAAAGCAAGTCTTGTCAATTTTATGCTGCAGAAGGGTTACTTGTCGGACTCTGGTGCGATGCGGACGGCATTGCATTTAACGATACAAGATACATTCTTGGCGCATTTACAGAGCGGTAAAAGTGTCGACGCTTTTTTTAATATGATAATCGATACATACGGGGCCAACTGGTTTTCCCCGACTCTGATCAATCAGATGTTAAGTGTCACCGTGCGATTGAGAGACTACGATGCAATTGACCGGTTGCTTGGAATATGCGAGCAGCAAGGCTTTGCGCTCGACAGCGCCACTGTCAACTCGATCCTGCCCTTGTTCCGCTCTGATATCCAGTGCGCTCTTCGATACATGTTTCGTTGTCTGGATCACCCCGAGACGCAGTTGGACAAAAAAGCGTGGGAGATGCTTTTTCTAATTGCTTTCAAAGGCAGAAATTACAATATCTGTCGGGTGCTATGGCGGTATGCTTGCATGCACAGACAGGTGACATACAAGATGAAGCAGTCTGTTCTGACCTCACTGGCACGGAATGTGCCCCGGAACAAAGGAGACGTGATTGATAATGTTTGGAGCACTAGTGCCGGCAATGTCATTGTTGGTGTTGATTTTGATCAGTCCGTGTATCCCTTCGACGATGCTATTCTGGACAATGTGCCGGACGAACATCTCGACAATCCGGTGGCTTATCTTGCGTCCGGTTATAAGCCAGGTGGGGAAGAACGTGCAAAGCAACTTAGTCTCGCCTCAGCGCTTGTGAAGCGTGATATCGAGATTGGACCTCGATACCAGCCGTCTGTGCCTTTTCCCATCATGCTGGAGGCCGCCGCCGTGATGGATCGTGGATGGAAGGGCATCCCAAGACCAACGCAATGGGTCCTGCAGAATTCCATCCACATACCTGTGCGCAAGGCGGACCTCTTCGCCACCCCTGCATAATGCATGTTTTTGTCCACTATTGCCCTGACGTTTCATTCGCATTTCCCACCGGAGTCCGCCTTTTTATGGCATATTATTTACATCATTTGAGCCTGCACGTTGTATATTTTATTAGGTGGCTATGGAGCCCACCAAGTGTATATCATGTTGAGCGGATTCTTGCATACTGATGATAATTGGCATAGTCATGGGTGTAAGGTGCGTGGTTGGATATTGGTTGGGATTTATCAGCCTTCAGCTACCTCTTTTGTACATTACATGTAAATAGATATCACCCCTCCACCCCCGACTTCAGAAATGTATATAGTGTGTATAGAGATATGAATCGAATAGAGTCCGAGAGGATCACAGATCGGTGGGAGCCATTCAAGTCAGCCAGGGGTTCGCATCTAGCAAAACAGCACTTCAGTTGTGGATTTGCATGTTCAATTTGGTAAGGCATAATCATCTATATCATCCAATGTGTCGTAAATGCATCAATATGTTAGGGCAAGCGTTGCCATGAGTTCCGCCGGCAAAACTCACCCACGGCCGTTCTCATGCAGCAGAGCCGGGGCAGGAGGAGGAATTGGAGCTCCGTACGGATCCATGCTCGTTCGGGTGGACCCTACCCCTTCTTTCAGGTATAACACCAGCCGGTAGGCGGAATTGCCATTCAAGTAATACCGATGCAGACGTTTACTCCGCAAAAAGCCCAGGCGCTCATACAGCTTGATGGCAGCAGTGTTTGTAATCTCCGTCTCTAGTACAATCTGTGCAAGAGAGAACGCCGTCAGTCAATCTTCTTCCAACTTCCTCCTGCTGCAAGCCCCGTCGCAGGTAAACCTACCTCATCGGCGTCTCGCTCTATCATCGCATCAATTGCCATCCGCACCAACTTGGTCGCTATCCCTCGCCCACGGTACTCCTCCCGCACAGCCAGCATGGCAATATACCCCCTCAGCGGACCGCCGCGGTGCGGTTCGAGTTTCGAAACCACCACGCCTACCATGTAGTCGTTCTCCTTTGTATCGTCCATGGCCATGAAGCACAGATCCCCCCATTGATAGAGGAAGTAGCGGTAAACGTAGATGCTGTACGGTTCCGAGAGATCTTTGGAAATAAGCTGCCTCATTGCGGAGACGTATTCATTTTCGCGGGAGCCATCGTAGCGCACATAGCGGAGGTCTGAAGGAGCAGCAGCAGCAGCTGTGGGCTCTGCGGGTGAAGAGACATCCTGGCTCATTACGGAGTCATCGAGGGGAGGAGGTGGGGGAGTTGTTGTGGGAGAAGAACTTGAGGGTGGAGCTTGTTTTCAGGAGACTGTTGGAGGAACCGGTAAAAGGACGGATGTGAGTAGCTTGTGATTGCGATGTGTCGAATGATGGACGTTGGTGGTCTGAGACGACTTCTTTGGAGGAATTCGCTTTTCTCGCATGACGTCCCCGTTCCTGCTTCCCATGTGATTCCGATGCCCGTCGCTCCCCTTGGGTACCTTTTTTTCTAGCCTTTTAACTTTCAATACTTTTTATCTACATTCCTCGTGTCATTCAATTCTCTGGGACCTAGGAGCAATTGTCTTCAAGATACCCTTCAGTCTGAGTTAGGTCCTACATCAATCGCAGCATTTTGTTTGACTAAGAGCAGTTCCTGGCGGTCGCCCACATGCTCCGCCGTCGTCTGGCAAAGGACGACGACGTCCAGCAGACTACGGACAAGTCTCGCGACGACAAAGGAAAGTCATCGCCAGATACTAAGACAGTTGTCATTCAAGAAAACCCGCAATCCGGATCGTTCTTCTCCCGACCGAAGAGCAAACGGCGCAATGGACTCATCTTCGCGCTCGGAGGCATTTTCGGCATCTTTGTTGCCTTGTTCTTCGCCAACCAGCAGGATGTGATTAGTCTCGAAGCATTGATGGATCTGAACCTGGACGCGTTGATTGATGTGATTCCTCAAGGCATTGTAAGGGATGCGCGAGAGTTCACGGTATGTTGGAACCCTGATACCATTGTCAATTGTTATCCCTCCATGCTTATCAGCTTCCCTTGGCATCTGTACAGCAACATGAGCGCGACGCAGTCAGCTATGATCCCTTCTCCATCGGTCTCCAGCTTCAGGCGCAAGGAATCGAAGCCAAACATCCGATCGTTATGATCCCCGGTGTCATCTCAACCGGCTTGGAGAGTTGGGGTACGGGCCCGGCCTCCCGGCAGTACTTTCGTCGCAGACTCTGGGGCAGTTGGAGCATGATGCGTGCGCTGGTCTTGGATAAGGCAGAATGGAAGAATCACATCATGCTGGACAGAGAGACTGGGTTGGATCCTCCAGGGATTAAGCTACGGGCAGCCCAGGGGTTCGATGCGACCGATTTCTTTATCACGGGCTACTGGATCTGGAATAAGATCCTTGAGAATCTGGCGTCGATTGGATACGACCCAACGAATGCGTTTACGGCCGCATATGATTGGCGGTTATCCTATTTAAACCTGGAACTCCGCGACCAGTACTTCAGTCGTCTTAAGTCGTACATCGAGACGGCCGTGCTGGTCAAAGGGGAGAAGGTAACTCTKGCGTCGCACAGTATGGGGTCGCAGGTGGTTCTCTACTTCTTCAAATGGGTCGAACATCCAGATCACGGCAAGGGAGGCCGCGACTGGGTCAACAAGCACGTCGCCAACTGGATCAACATTAGCGGGTGCATGCTAGGCGCTGTCAAGGGGCTGACCGCAGTATTGTCGGGCGAGATGCGCGACACCGCTCAGCTTAACGCCTTTGCTGTGTACGGCCTGGAAAAGTTCCTGTCCAAGGAAGAGCGTGCGGAGATCTTCCGCGCCATGCCGGGTATATCCAGCATGCTCCCCAAGGGCGGCGAAGCAGTCTGGGGCAATTCTACCTGGGCACCGGACGATCAACCTGGCCAAGTCATGACCTTCGGCAACCTGCTCAACTTCCGCGAAACCAACTCGAGTTGGACCCGCAAGAACCTCACCACGGCGGAAAGCCTGAGCTACCTGCTCGACCAAAGTGAGGATTGGTACCGCAACCAGGTGCGGAACAGCTATTCGCACGGCGTCGCGCATACAACCAAGGAAGTCGAGGCGAACGAGAACGATCCGCGCACATGGCTCAACCCACTCGAGACACGGCTGCCCCTTGCGCCGGACATGAAGATCTACTGCTTCTACGGTGTAGGCAAGCCGACCGAGCGCAGCTACTTCTACCAAGAAGAACGCGATCCCCTCGTCAACCTCAACGTCAGCATAGACACCACCGTGACCACTCCAGACGGGGTAGATCGCGGCGTCCTCATGGGTGAGGGCGATGGCACGGTTAACCTGCTCAGTACAGGATACATGTGTGCCAAGGGATGGCACATCAAACGTTATAACCCCGCGGGCGTGAAGATCAAGGTCTTCGAGATGCCGCATGAGCCAGACCGATTCTCAGCCCGCGGTGGTCCGAATACAGGTAGGTATCTTCCTCTTCCGCCTCATTCAACCAAGGATTCCGTGGGTTACTGGCTGACGACGGATTAGGTGATCACGTCGATATCCTAGGGCGCGCCTCGCTGAATGAGCTTATTCTCCGCGTGGCAGGAGGACAAGGAGACCTTATCGAGGAGACCTTTGTCTCCAGAATCAAGGAATACGCCGACCGCGTCAAGATATACGAAGAAGAATAATGACTCGTCATCTTTAAACCGTTAATATCATTATAATACTGGCTCTGTGCTATTGGTGGCTTACGACAAACTCCGTACTTGTACTTTACTGGTCTCGCTGTACATATACCAATGAAGATATCACATCACTTTCGCAGGAGACCAGGGCTCAGGTCGTATATAGGACTGTGACTCTAACAAATAAACTAATGGGTCCTATGACTGGCTTGCTCACGATACCTCTCGGCAAATTAGGTTAAAATTGTGTACACGAGAAAAAAATGACCACCGCATAATAATGTACATCACTGTTTCTTCATAAATCATAACGCTACCGGATTACAAATAATGATAATGCTATGGATCAATCATCCAACACACCTCGCTGTGCACAGGAAACGGCTAGGGCTAGGAAGGTTGCGGAAGCCAGAGAAGGAGAAAAGCGCACTTCAGACTCGAGCCGACACGCCATGATAAATGGCGGCGGCGAGCTAGAGCGAAGAAAACCGAGAATGATTAGGTTGTATTAGGAAGTCGAAAACGTGCAGCGAGGTGTGTTGCATCCAAGCAGCCTGAGAATCGAGATGGTACAGGAGGATGGAGGAGATGTTCTGTATGAACACCTTCTACCCCGACAGTCACCGTGAGCAAGCTCAGTCCTCCTGAACTCCCCGATTCCGGGTGATGCCAAATAATCGGCGGAGACACAGCTCCGCGGGGTGCCCACTGTCAAAAGCAAGCGAATGTGGGGTTGAGAAAGGACCACAGTAATGAACCTGGAGGACCCCTTTCTATATGCCAATGCAAGAATCATTAAAAGCATCAGAACCCTTCTAAGCGAGTGTAGTGCGTGCAAAAGGCGCCCAGCCCGTGTTGTGTATCCTTCCCAATGAAATCAAAACCCCCAAATTCCAGGCGCCGTAAAATGTGAGCGATCGACACGAATGTAAAGTATTTATGCACCTGGCCGAGCTGAAGAAAAGAAGCAAGGTGTCTCGACCAGTTGAAAGTAGTAGCGAATGACTTGAGTTGGAATCGGTGAAAATGTTCGTTCTGCAAAACTTGTACAAGCGAATGTCCGATGTGGCACCCTCGGAACGAGCATTAAGAATTATCGTTGAAGCCCCCAGGAAGATTCGAGCTCAAATTGAGGCTCACAATCATGGCGGGCCGACTGGTCTCGTGAAAAATGCATGTACAATCGAAAGCCAGGTAGAAGAAATTTGGGCACAACCAGGCCAATCCACCCCATGTCGGGATGAAGCAACCGTCATTAATCCCGGAGTGACCCAAAACCGTATTAAACATATATATGTGTCGAAATCAGCTCAATGCAATAAACCAAGCATGTCGTTAAAATTTGTTTGAAAACGCCGTCTCATTAGTCAATGCAATAACACGTACACAGTGGAGTACGTGTCAAGGCTGGTTGAGCCGGATCAGAAATGCCTTCCAGACTCGATGTCGGTAGCAGGAGAGGTAAGAGTCTCGCCCTCCCAAGAGTAGTGGTCGTCAACTGGGCTGAGGGAGCCGGACGAGATGGATGACGAAGAACCAACGGTCCACTCATCGCTATCGAGGTTGAACTCTCCTTCGAAGCCGGCTGAACCGTACCCATAGTCGAGTGCGGAATCGCCGTACTCAACATAATCGTAGTCCCAGCGGAACATCTTATCATTCTGGACGCGAGGCATGAACCGCGTTTTGGCAAAGTAGAATGCAACAGTTGCCAAGAGGCCACCACCAACCAGATCGACAGCGTAGTGGTGCGAGAGATACATTGTAGCCCACCACATCCAGAGGGTATAGATGACGAACAAGGGCTTCAACCGTGGGAAGACTTGGCTCATGAACAGAGCTGCAAGAGTCGAATCGGCGGCATGTAGAGAAGGGAATGCGCCGAAAACGACGGGAGATTGTCTGAAGCCCGAGGTGTACAAGTCTATCCCAAAAAGCTCATCGATACGAGCAAGGCCCGCAGGATTACCCGGCATGGAGTAATCAGCCGGAGCCAAGCCATACAGATTTTCGTACCACGGAGGAGAGCAGGGGAAAAACAGCTGAATGGTGACTGCAGCCATGCTGATGTATCCAAAAGTTCGAGCGAAAAGGGGGACGGTGCCGGGAGGACCGAAGATGAACATGATCGCTGAGCACACAAAGGGCGCGCCATAATGGCAGATTCCGTAGGGAAGCCACGCCAAAACGTCAAGCACCACGTTTTGGTGAGCGGAAAGGATGTTGCTGATGTTGGCACCGTAAAGAATGTTTTCCAGAGCTGGCAGCACGCGAACCCAGATTGCAGGGCGCCAGTCGCTAGGGATGAACCTTTCAGGCAGACATGAGTACTCATCACATATTGTAATTGCTCGAGAGAATGTGAACTTACTGGCAAGCGTAGAAAAATATAAGCCATCCGGCAATCGGAAGGAATGGCAAGAAGAATTGGCGCGTAATCGGGAGAAGGAGAGAGATGAGGAGTAGCGTAAATGCAGCGGTCTTTGCCAGTGGTCCAGGTGATTCCATAACGCTCAGGGAGAATATGCCGACAATCAGCAGCAAAAGATACTGGAAGTCATAGAGTGTCCATCGATGACTTTGCAACGATCTGAGTGTATCTGCAGGCGAGAACGATGTCTGCAACGAGGATATCGAAGAGGTAGGCGAGATCCGACTGCGCAGCTTCGACCGAATCTTTCGTCGCATACGGTGCGGCACGAGAAGTTGTATGGAGCGCCATGGAACTTGAATCTGGAGCTTGCCGAACTGGTTTTGCGTCCGATCCTTCCAGGATGGAAGGGTGGTATTCATCGCTGCGGTGAGTCTGATCCCTTCAGACTCGATGATCCAGGAGGAGCTCGAAAGGGAGATGGAGGATGCTGCAATTATAGCGGGGGAAGAATGGAGTGTGATCTCCTATGTGGAGCTGGCGGCCAGGGGTTCCAAGGCGTCAACGTGACGAGACTCCAAGGGCGAGGATCACCGAGAGACGAAAGGTTTCGACAGCCGAGAGATCCAATCCGATAATCTCTATAGAACGGAGAACTGATTTCGGATAGGGGGTTTATGAGGGTGCAAGCTCCGGTCTCCAGCGGCCAAACGAGGATACTCTGGGGAAGGTCACGTTGCAAGGGTCTCTCTGACGCAAGGCGGACAGGCAAGGGCAACGAGAACGAGGTTAAATCGCTAGGGGGCGCTGCACAAGACAATTTGGCCACGGAGCCGGAGGAAGGGCGAGAAGAGTTGTTATGGAGGAGGAGATGAAAGAGGTAGGAAGTAAAAACGTGAGGAAATGGGGAGATGGTGAGGATTTTGCTGTGACAGAGAAGCGCCCCATCCAGCCTTTCATCTAAGCCCAAGAACAGTATGAAAGTAATTGAAGGGCAATGGGGCCACGGACAACGACGGGTACGAGTACGGCGCTAACATACTGGTATGCGTAATACACAGTGTGTTTTTGGTAACATGTCGTCACTAGGTATCATCCTCCAGCTCCCTCAGGCGCTGTGAAAGCTATCCAGGTACAACCTAACTGATTCAGGAAATTTCAGTACATACTGCTGAGAGAATGAGCTGGCCTTGGTATCTTGCTTGCCTGCTATCTATTGTATGCATTAGGAGCTCAATGCGAATATATTATATCAACCAAACCACTCCTACCCACTGAGAGTAAAACACAAATACACCCATAGTATCATATGCCTTATGGTCGGATGCAGCGGAAGCCTCGGAGGAAACGGAATTTCTGTCGCCGACCAGCAAAAGGATGTGACAAATCTCAACAACCCGACAAATAAAAGACCGTCCCAGGAAGAAAAAAAAAAAAAAAAAAAAGGAAAAAAGGAAAAAAGAAAATTAGGTAAGACAGTATGGTAAGGTACCTACCAAAGTTTTTCTGCGATACGCTCAATTCTGAGCTTGTAAGGATTATCCAATCATTGTCTGCGACTTTGAGGCTGATTGGCATTTTGGGATCCATTATGAGAAAGCTACATACCAATGGGAAGCTGTGGATCTTCAGGCTCAATTTCGCTTAATCCACAACCGTCACACAGTCATCCGCAGCGGACCAAAGGAATCGCCGAACGCCTTGCCGCCAAGAACCCACCATCCCTGGATCTTATGTACTCCGTAATAATGTAAGATATTTCGGCCAGTGCCCAGATTGGGGAAACAACGAGAGGAACCAGACAAAATCCTCGGAATAGGGCTGAAAAGATTTCATCTTCGAAACCAGGAAACAAAACGAAGAGTTTTTACGATGGGACGTTTCTGCCGTAGAAAGCAGTTTCAAGCAATCCATCCAACGATAGCCGCAGCATAGCAGTCTGAGGTACTCCGTACTCTTGATCACGTTGATCATGTCATGCAAGAACAGATACCAACATCAACTTCGTACTTAGCCACATTTGGCAGAGTACTGCCTCATGGCTTCTAATCCAGAGTCAGCTTGACCAGCCTCGTCTTCTCATAGTACGGTGTACTTCCGTAGTCTTACTAATTGTACAATCACTATTCATATCGGCAGGAGACCATCCGCATCATGAAGAACAGGATAAGTTTTGATTGTTCGAACTAGGCGACGATCCACAAGTCTATTGATCACTAATTCTAGACAACAGGAGTTCTAGTAAGGTAGTTCTCCATATTCGAGGGTACCTGAGGATTGGGCACACGAGTTCCTCTCCCGAAAAGGAAAGACGGAGTCGCACGACAATACAGTGTGGTTTCGTACCTGACAGATTACATATTTTACTTACTTACAATACCTAATACAGACATTTACAGCCGCTCAAGTTGGAAAAGCCGGCAAGCCGCATGTGTGATTGAAAGTTCTACATCTGAAGCTGGATGTTTGATGTAATAATGTGCATAAAGGCTCTTTCATTTTATTCCGTGTCTGAAACTCCACACTTATGCATGGTCCTATGTACTATTTCTTTCTTGTTGTTTGATCTCTTTTGACTTGAAATGGTAGATAAGTGAATACTCTATGGCGTTTGGTACCTGCTCTCAATAATAACCCATATTAAAGGATTATCTTGATTGACATTAATAAGATTAAGTCTCACTCTATAGTTTCAGAAAACCGCGTCATCCAATTTAGCCCCAGGACTCAGTTGCTGCATTGCATGCCTGGTACTACTGACAAATACACGAGATTAATCCTGAAAGCTGAGCCTTGCAAATCTATATTTACATTATTCGCAGCTATTCATTGTACTCGTTCAGCATTCAATAGTGATTGATTATCTGGCGGTTGCCTGGAGCGAAGTGGATTCGCCGAGATGAAAGGAGCTTGGGCCAGCATGATGAGCCACGATCCAGTGGATCTGGGCCGAATCAAGGAATTACCCAGGGAGTTGGGTACAGCCACAAAATCATCTTAGATGAGTATTCGTACTCCCTAATCAAAGTTAACCAAAAAGAGCTGAATCAGTGTGTTTTAGTTTTTGAGGCAGACCGAAATAATATTACTCAATGTGCAGTGAACGATGTAGGTACTGATACCTTGGCGCACCTTTTCTTCCACTTCCTGACTACATCATCATGCATCATGTCGAACAAATGACCTGCGAACCAATTGTTGAGCTCGAAATGAGATGGCCATCGCAACATCACTTGGTTGACGGCTTAGGTGTACCATCATCTGATTGTATCGATTCTCCCAATCATGATCACATTTCAATAGCCACATGCATCGTCCGTTCGAATATCCGGCGAACGGCAAAACACGGAGTAAGCAACCTTGCATTCTGGGGATTTTAGACGGGATCTATGATGTTAATTACCAGATACTTGACCCTCACTCGGAAGGGGTGTATTATTCTCAGACGTCTCAAATTGTTCATCTTAACCCAGTATATTATTACTTCTCTAAGGGGTTTGGATTATCTTCACTGGTTTTATCCATAAACACCTCGTGATATCTGACCTTGATCAGCAAATTCTGTATATACTACACGCCTTGCGTAAGGCCTTAGAATATCTACGGAGAATTCTCGTGGAATTTCACGCTTTAGCTTCCATACCTATCCGCACTGCCACAATCACCACCTCTTCGAGACTCATCAGCCCCTTGATGATAATAGTTCGATGTGGCATGACGTCATCTAGCACATGCGCGGAATGTAGAGAACAGACTTGGAAGCCTTCTCGGGTTTCTGGAATGTCACAGCCTGGCATGCTGGATGTAACCGTTAGTATGGAACATTCAGGACTATGTCGCCCACCAGGGGTAGGATGGCTTAAGCTGGACTCGCAGTCGGCTGTAAAGGAGTATATGCTCATGGCCAAGGAGCTTCCCGGCGACATTGGATCTGATCTGCGCAACAAGGCGTCTGCTGGATATGCTAGGTGAAGTACCGTCTTGCTTGATTTCGTGCACTGTACATTCTGGACCATGACCCCGCCATAACCAGACGCCGTAAATGAATATTTACACCCGGAACCGAACTTATTTTACTCCCCAACCCGACGCCTGAAGCAAAATAAAACAGAAGAATGGGGAGCCTCATTGCTCGCCATGACCCTCGCCGGAGGAAGCGAGCAATTGAAACCCCTTGACTAGTCCCATTGCTGACCCGGCTGCGACACCCCCCACAAGGACCATTTGCATGCCGCCAATGAACCCTCGTCGGATATTCTGTCTGCCTTTCCAACCGCTCACGAAGCATGTCTTGCCGTACCCGAAGAGAAACAGTGCTATAGCCATAGTGGCAATGGACCAGCGCAACGCGATGAATGCGTCTTGCGGCCCGACGAAGAAGTAAGGAAGCAGCGGCACGAACCCCCCAATGAAGTAGCCTAACGCGATGGTCAAAGCGCAGATGAGTGCACGGGAGCCGGATGGTTCAGGAAGCGTGTGGTGGAAGTTCATGAGAAAGGAAGGGAGCATGGGAGAGGCAGACAGGTGATCGGTGAGTTGTGAGACGAGTTCAGATGGGAGGTCGTAGGGCGCGAAGATTTCGGAGATGGTCTCTGTTGTAGCGGATGGGTCTGCGACAACTTGGTTTCGAGTCTCTTTGAGGGTAGCTCTGTAGGATTCCCTGGGAGCGAAATATCAGCCAGGCGTCTATACGAATCTGCATAGACAATTCAGCACTCACTCCTCACTCTTTGCGCCTAAGTATCCGCCCAGTCCCATAGAGATAGCTCCAGCAATGAGCTCTGCCAGACCGCCAAAGACAACCACTTTCGTATCTCCGAGAGCGGACAATCCCGCAGTGAGAGCAAAAGGAACCGTTAAGCCATCTGATAGACCGATAATGGCATCCGAAACTGTCCGCCCATCAATGATTTTAGACTCTTTCTTCTCTGTGCCATCCCTTCGAGTTGGCTTGTTTGCTTCACTCCCGCTGGCAGATTCCAGATCTTCGGACCCATTTCGAAGCGGGTAACGATATTCCTTTTCCATGTCCGGCGACTCCGTGACTGGCGAGTAGTTGGAGAGCAATCCTTTAATGGAACTGAGAGACATATTCCGTCGATTCTCTCCTGTGGAGGCCTGCTAGAAGACGAATGATTTAGGATCAATGTTGCAGTCGAGACAAGTCTCCAGACAAAATGAGGTGACGACTTGAATTTTGACCAGATCGAATATCCAAGAGCTCATCGCAAGGTACTTAACAGAAGGTGTCCGCCCCAACTCTCTAGACCTAATGTGAATAAGCAAGTTCCGGGCGTGAAAAATCCTGAACGAATCAAAGGATCACAAGTACAATCTCTGGACCTCTGAGAAGGCCAATTCAAGGCCCTTGACCACTCTTAGTGGAGATAATGTCAACCTCATTACCCAGTAGGTCAAAGCA